AGTTGTTGTTAGCGGAGCTTTTAGCCCAGAGAAAAAGAGCGTGCCGAGGCAGCACATATGCGCATTAGGTGAAAGTACAAAATTCACAGCGCCATCTAATGACCCGGCATGGTAACTACAGCGGATTCGGGAGGGTGGGGGGGGATTCCTCCAGATGCATGTAAACACAAAATCCGGCCGTGTCAACGCAAATCTTTTCCTCTAATTAACATACAAAAAAAACCCTACGTTTCCCCCCATCGTGTCCGTGTAAATAGGGCCTAAGACTATGAACTAAGAACTTTCCTTTCCACTGTTACATTTGTGCTTGCTCATGACAAGAGTCTGAGATGAAATTAAACTCAAAGCAATCTGCTCCTCAGATTTTTTTTTTCCTTTCGGCTTTTCCCTTCTTCAGGGGTCGTCACAGCGAACTAAATAACAAAGACTGGGCTATTTTTTTGCCAGTTGCCCTTCCTGATGCAACCACAGACCACTGAGCTCCCACAGCCCTCTGTGTGGAGCAGAGAGCTGCTATCTAGGACCCCCGGAGGAGTAGATGGTATTAAGGGCCTTGCTCAAGGGCTTTGTGTGAAACAAATGAGTTTGGAGGCAGGTGTGCCTGCTTCACCTATCCCACCCACATTTTGATGTTGTCGGTACTGGGAGTTTAACCAGCGATCTTCCAATCACTAATCTACCTCCTCTAACCTCTACGCCACCACTCTCTAAATGTTGCTCCTCGGATAAATAACTTTGTTAACCTACTTTATATATATATATAAATATTTCTGTTCAGTGCCCTGAAATAACATCTGTTGTGACATGGCGATATATAAGTAAACTAAATTGAATTGAAAACTATTTTCTCTGGTTACTGGTTAATTTGTTAACTCTTGAGGTTTTCTACCGTCTCTGTGGCGTCAGCCTCACCTGGTGAACGACCTCTACTGATGCTTCTGGTTCAAGACCTGCAGTTGTCTGTGGACTCTTTGCCTGTTGCCAAGATGTTCTGAAGCCTCCTCTTGTCCGAGTCTCCTGAGATCACAAGTTCAAGTTGTGTTTATTTCTTATATGCAAGGTTAACACAAGGTTAACAGTACAATGAAATGCTTAGAATGAGAAGAACCGATTTGACTCGCTAAAAAAATCAAAGAACAAACAAACAAGAAATACTAAAAGCATACAGTAAGGGTACACAAAAAAGTACCAAATAGTGATAAAGTAATTATTGTTGGATGTAATTGGGACCCTGTGTACACAATTTTGTTTCACCACATTTGGTGCGAACGACAATAAAGAATATCTGAATCTGTATCTGTATCTGTATAATTCAGTTAAGGCACATTTTCAAAATGTTTACTCAAAATCAATTAGCTTTAAGGCTAACAAAGGAATCAGACATTCATTTGAAATAACAGTTGTACAACAGGTAAAAAAAAATATGTAGCTACCAGTATAATAATAATAATAATAATGATGATAATAATAATAATAATAGTAATAATAATAATAATAATAATAATAATAATAATAATAATAATAATAATAA